ATTATTAATTTTTTAAAAAATTAAAGAAAAATTAAGTTAATTTTTAAAAAAAATTTAACAATTTTAATCTAAGAATTTTATCAACAACTCAAAAGAAATAAGTGATTTTTTCTTTACAAAAAATAAAATTTATTTGTCTTTTTTTTACTATATTATCTATATTTTAGATAATAAGAAAAATTATGTTCCTAAGTGGATCATGGAATTATAGAAATCTCATGGAATTTCTGATCGTATCATGGAATTTTTTCAATTCCATGATCTAAGACTCCAATTTACACGTTCGTTGAAAATGATACCCATTTTTAGTATTTTAATTCGTCATAATTTATATTTATAGTGAGTTTTAAAGTATCATGGAAATTTTATCATTTATCACCTAGAAATCATGGAAAAATCATGGAATTTCGCGAAGAGAAATTTGTAGAAACCCTGTCCAGGCTTAGAACTGGCAGCAGTAATGCAATAATCCTTTGTCATTTGTTAAATAAATAAGTGAATAAAAGCAGCAATAGCGCCTTGCGCATATAGCTATACGAAGGCGATTTGGGAGGGAACGGCACGCAACTCAAATACAGCAAACGGCACGCAATTTAAGGAGGTACCACCTATTATCGAATAAACAAGCAGTTTTTGGTAAAACTTGATACACTACTAAATAAATCTTCTAAAATTCTGTAGTTAAATTTTTGAGACCTGTAGGTTCCGGAGAAAAAAGTTCTGATCGATTTATTTTTTCACTGTTCAACATTGATTCTTATGGGAATTCATTACTTTGTCACATATATTTTCATACTATGAAATATTAAACAAACAAATGTTGATCAAAGTTTGTATAGTTAAAGACAGATATGCAATAAACCGGTATTGTATTTAAAAAAGGACAATAGGTTCCTGTGAGAGTTCAAAATAGTTCATTTATAAATTTTTTTCCACTTTTTGTGATACACAAAAGATAACTTGAAACATCTGGCAACACGGCATTTCGCGTCTTCACGGTTTCCACCGTGCGCGTGCGCTTGTCAAAGTTTTGAGGTTATGCGCGCGTTATTTCAAATTTTGATTTCTGGGAAAAGAATAAAATGTTCAAATTAAAAACTGAAATTCTATTAGTTAATAAAATTTTTATTATTAACTTGAAAAATATGACAAACACATAATATTTTTAGAAATTAAAGCTTATAAATAAAATAAATCATGGAAAATAACATATAATATTAAGTAATTTAATATAATAATATATTATATTGATATTATAATTTTATAATTTATAATTCTATAATAATAATTATAATATTAATATAATTAATTAAAAAATTAAGTTACGCGACAATACAAAACAACAGTTGTTGACAACGTACATAACGTGAGTTGCAGTGTTGCCAGACGTTTCAAAATACCGAGCAAGTCAAATCAGACAAAAATGGTTATTGCTTTTACTAGTTCAGTGAAGGGATGGAACCTCCTTAAACACAGGGAGGGAAGGATCGGGACGCAATTCGAACAAAAATGGATCATACCTGAAAAATCGGACGCAATTCGAAATCACCGGTAGAAAAGGTCACGGATGTTTTAATTCTTACCTGCAGCGCTTTAAGAAGGGATAGACTGAGGAGTATGCTTACTGCTAGTTCCCTGTGGACAACGCAGAGCACACCCTCTTTGCCTGCAGTAGATGGGACTTGGAGAGGCAGGCCATGTTCACCGGTGTAAACGCTACAGTTACACCGGAGAATATGGTAGCGTTGATAATCCAGTCCCTGAAAAACTGGCGGCTCATCGAGACCTTTATCATCTCTGTTATGATGAGAAAGGATCTCGATGGCCGCAGGAAGGCGTAATTGACATGCACTTATTTATTATTTATTTTTTTAAATTTTTATTGTCTTTTTACAAATTTATGTTTATTTTGTGTTCCATTTATTTCCGTCTTTTACAGTTTTATTTATATTTTATGTGTTTATCTGTCTTTTTACAATTTTATTTTTGACTTTGTTTATTTTACTTTTTATTGACTTTTTATTGTTTTCTTTTCTGGTGTGCTGTTAATTCCGCTTTGACATTGATTTTTGTTTTATTTTTAAAATTAATAACGCAGGATGTCCGTAGGACTGGACGAAGAGTGGGAGCGCCACCCTCGAAGGCTAAAGTCTTCACGACAGTACCGAGGGTGGATGAAGGGCTCCCAAGAAGGGTTGACGGGTTTTGGTGGGTTGGGGCTGGTAGTTGTTCGACAGCTTATTTTGTTTAGTGTTCTCCTTGTTTTTTACCAACCCCACATAACCATGGCATACGGAAGCCAAGGTATCTGTATACAGATTTCCCAAAAGTCCCTAAGCAAAAAAAGTACATATTTAATAATAATTTTTTTTATTTAATATTTATATCCTTCATTAATTTTTCGTTAATCCACTTGCAGTAGTATTTAATTATTTATATTAAAAAAATTAATTAAAACTTAACATAATCCTAAAATTTACTTGGCTAACGTTCATTTCAAGAATTGTTTCGATGGTTAAGATAATTTTTGCTAAGCGTAACTTTTTGCATCGAAAATGTTTTTGTTGGGATTTAAATTTATCTAAATTATCTAAAATTAATCTTTTATTATATTATCTATTACTTCATTTTATGTAAGTTATCTTACTTTTTCACATTTCATAATTTAAATAAAAAATATTCTAAAAAATATGTCTTTTTCTTCAATTTTCAACGGTGGAGCACAACTCTTCACTGTTTTTAAAAGTCATGAAACTAGTATTTTCGAAAAACAAGCGAAATTTCTATTTCCGTTCTGAAATTTAATTAATCAATTATGCCAAAAGTTGTGTTTATGAGTGTACTGAAAGTTCTATATAATAGAATAGTGAAAAAAAATTTATTTAATAGTTTTGATCGAAAAACAAAACCTGGAGCATAACTCCCCACTCTCCCCTAAATTCTATTGGTTTTTAATCTTCCTGTCCTCCATATTGGATCTGACATTTTCAGTTTTGAAAAACTAACATCAGATTTGATTTCAGCGATCTTTAAAACCACCGAGTAACGAGTTTCAAATGAAACTGACTTCATATTCGTAATTAGTAACTCCAAATACAACCCCAGTGATGAGTTTCAAGTGAATTTCAAAATAGGTCACTTTTGAGAAGACATATTGGATTTTCAAATTCATAATTTTTGACCTTAAATTCGGATTTAGCGTTGAAAATACCTTAAATAACGTCAGTATGATTTTTTTCAAAGTTTTTTGTAAATACTTGTATAGACGTATCTCACAGTCAAGAGGTTAAAGGGGGAAACTCGTGTAAATGCACATTTTTCAGGATTTTTTTTTAAAATTGTGAAAGTTTATTGAATTAAAGTAAAGCATACCTTAAAATACATAATATAAGCTTTATAAAAAATTTGATTTTGCGCCGTGCAGCCTGAAGGTCACAAATCTCAACTAAAATCAAAATTTTTACAGTTAAAATACGCATATACTCTTTGCATGACAAAAAGAAAACTAAAAAAAAATTTTTTTTGAAATTTTGGGACCATTTTGAAAAAAATTACTTTTTTTTATAAACAATGTTCATAAACAATTGTTAAAAAAAAATTTTTTTTAAACGGAGCTCGTCATGCAATAGCCAGTAAGATAAAGAAGAAACACGTTTCGAGAAAAACGCGTTTAAAATTTTCGATACATAAAAGTAGTGTTTTAACTATTGCCTTCAAGACGTTATGTATTCGAAAATAACTATTGCACTAAAACCACAGTATACTATAACTTGCTTATGGTGCTTGCTAATGACAATTAATAAAATTATATTGCCATAAACCGAAAGAATAGAGAGATCTCGTGCTCATCGTTAACTGCATTTGGTAGCATCTGACCCACGTGAAAATATTCCCGGGAATTTTTTCCCGAGAAATTCCCGGGAATTGAGCAGAATAAAGTTAAAATGTTTTCGTGAGAACTTTTATGAATTTCATGGGAATTTTTCATAAATTTTCCAAATAAATTTCAGTTTCCGATTGACCTATTTTGGATCTTTTTTCTATCAAATAGAACAGAATTATTATAGAATATTCTAACAAAGTTTTAGATGTCTTTAAACGGCATCTATTTGCGAATTTAAAAACGTATTAAATTGAAAATTCTAAATTTTGAAAATGAGCAATCTCTAGACGGTAGAAAGTGTTCATGTTCCTAATGAACACAAAATGTTACTCTAAATGAACAGTGCAACACAACTTTACAGCGATATTTTGATTTAATTAAATACTGAAAAATGTTTCATTTTTAATTTTAATTTAGTAATATTCACCTTATTGTTAAACAGTCAGTAAAAGAATAATAATAATAATTAACAGATTAATCTGTTAATTATTATTATTATTAAAAAATATGATAAAATCAACTGAGATTTTCGTTCAGTGTAGAATTTTTTCGTATATTGTCTACAGTGTATATAATTATAAATTTTTTTAAACTTGAATTAAATATTTTGAAATTGTCAACAAACGAATTTATTTATTTTTTAAATCTTTAAGAAATACTAACTTATTGAATTAAATGCTTAGAAGAAAATTTATCAATAAATAAATAATGTTTATTTTTTGCTCAATTAATAAATAATTTTGTTTTCATTTTTATTTTATTTATTTATTCAAATATTCGGGACAAGCCCTTTTGTACATAAGTACTCCTAAAACTAAGTAGTATTGCATAAGTTACAATATCTGAAATCATTCAACATTATCGTGCTAGTTGGATTGATAAACAGTCAAATTTGATCGAGTGTAAGTCAGCATAACAATAAGGTGAATATCCAAATCGTCCTTACGTTATTGTCCCTCTAACTGTATTTAAGTCATATTAAGGGACTTTCGGTTTTGTATTGATTTTTATTCCATAACTAATAAGGAATTTTTATCAGATTGAACTTCCTGAGAAATATCGTTTTATATATGTCTCATTATTTTTCAAATATTTAAAATTAATATATACTTTTCAGAATAAAAGAATCAAAGTGCAGTGAACCCAGCTTAGAAATATCAGAATTTCATTTAGTTAAAAGTGGAATTAGTGATAAGAATAAAATAGAAATCTCTGATTTCGCAAAAAACTCATGTCGAAAAGGTCAACAATTAAAAATTGCTAAGGTTTTTAATGCATCCAAAAATCGTGAAGTTTTGCCAAAACTTTTAGAAAAACCTGTTATAGAAAAGGTAAGAAATTTTAATAATTTTATCTTAGTACATTAAAAAATAAAATTTTCTTGAAACATACGTTGAGCAATAGATAGCGTTCTAAAGCTCTTTGTGAATATCTTTTTATCATTTTACTCATTTTACTTACACGGACGATGGACAGATTTTGTCGTGAAATCAGTTCAAATTTAAAAAATACATAAAACAAAAACGAATTAGTTATTGAATAAAAACTTTCAGATAAAATGCCCCATAAATTAAAAAACCTAAAAAAATTAGTTCTTTTGTTTGGTCAACCTCGTCTTTTTTTATACGATTTAAGCTTCTTTGGTTTGTTTTACGCACTATCCTGTTAAATTACGAAAAAAAAGTTTAAAACACAATTACAACGAAAATAATAAAATATATCGGCGTATCACTTACCCACGTTCTTTGTTTCATTTAGTCATACCCGTAATTGTTATTTAAAAGATCTCTTAACGGAGAAGAACGATAAATATTGTAAAATCACGATCAGATTCGTGTTTAATGTACACAAATTAGGTATACTACTTACTGGTCTGATTATGTATTGTAAAAAAAAGTTGAAAAAGTTTATAATTCTAAAAATCAAAAAAAATGTTCGAATTTCTCGTACAGGCATGTGTACGTGCGCCTCAATTTGTTTTGATGGAGGTCATTGATTTCAATTTTTTAACTTCTTTTACATCTTTTTCTCTCATTTTGTTTCGTCAGTAGAAAATTTGTCGTCGTTTTATCACGTACTCGTTTGACGTGAAATTTCATTTCAAAAGTTTATGTTTTAAATTTGACAATTTTGATGTTTAATTACTCAGATAGAAAAAATAAATTTTTCAATTTTTTATACTGATTATTTAATTCTTTTTAATTCTTTTGTAATTTATCGTGATTTGTTTTTTTAATAAACAATATCCTAAAGAAGTCGGCAAACCCTAGCCAATATGAGTTTTTATTTACAGATAAAACGCAGTGTTGGTTATGAACATTTAAAAAAAGATCTTCAAAAATGGAATTCTGTGATTGCACAACAAAGAACTGCAGAAAATGTTTCCTTTCCATTGAATCATCCGCCGATGAAATCAGAACCAACAGGTGATTTTGTAAACAAATTTCGAATTCAATCAGACTTAGAAAAGGAATTATCATTAATAGAACCAAGTTCAGTAAATGTACAAAAAGAAAATGTTTTGCAATTGTCGTTGGAAGAAATTTTGCAACGTAGATCAGAAACTGCTAAATTTAGAGCTGAACAGGTATTGTGTATTATTATTTTTGTTTTATATTTCAAAGAATGCTTTCCACAGTGGGCTTTGACTAACTTTAACCCAAAAGTACTGGACAATCTCGGCTCTCTTCAGATACTAATTCCACATTATTTTCTGAGTAATTTGAACCTAAGATGAAAAAAATCGGTAGAGGGATTTTCGAATATAGTCAATTTTTGTGTATTTTTAACTTTTTATAGTACTTTTTTTTATTTTGAAACAGTTGAATACTAATCAATTTGATTTCTTATCATGCATAAATTCTTTCTGAAGTTGCCGATTATTCAATTTAGAAGTGTCAAAATTAAAATTCAATGTTTGTTAATAATCTTGTATAAGAGTGATTCTCCACGAAGCGTACAATTCCATGTCCCTTGTGTTTTTTAAGAAATAAATTGTACATATTGTAATAAATCCAACGTGAGAAATTAACTTTAGTGTTCACAAACTTTTGTTTAAACACACTAAAGTTACTTTTTCACTATAACCACTTTAATATATTAAATTAAATATTATTTTTAAAATGCAAATTAAAGAGCCAACCTGTAATGGGGAATCCCGTCCCCAGTGTCATTTACGTGACAAAAATAAATATTTTTAGCAACATACAATAATAAAAATAATTATTGGTATCAGTTTTTAATTGTCGATATTAGTTCTTGTCCCCAGTTTTGTGCGTCATGAGGAAGCTTTTTAATGAAACTGAATTATTTCATAAAAATCAAAACAAAACTTACTTATACTTTTGCGGAAGCAATAATTAATTCCCCCAAGTAGATTTATTATGGTAAAAACAAATTTCATAATTAATTTTTTGCTTTTACACCTTTAAAGCTACAATTTTACATGGAGAATCACAGAATCTTTATGGGAAAGCCTTCATAAATTTTATAATAAATTCACTAATTATCAATATTTTCTGTTAAATAAAGTGTAGTTGTATTAATTATTTAGCCAGTATAAATGCCGTGAAGACGAAACAGATTGAAGATCGCTTGTATATTGTTTAAAAATCAGTATTAATTGTGCGTCATGTCATGGGGAAGCTCTATTAATTAAAACGTGTGTGTTATTTAGTAGGATTTACATTATATGTTAATTTTTGTTAAATTGTAAAAATATATTTTGAATAAAAGCAATAACTAAATTATACGCTACGTGGAGAATTACCCATAAATTCATTACTGCTCGCTCAAAAATATCAAAAGCTAGAAGTCATGAAGAAAATCCGTACTGTGTTTGCCTTTTTTGTTTTGGAAAATCGTCAACAATATTTCTAATTAAAGGTGCAATAAATGATTTAGTCATGAAAAATCATTTGTTGCGCCTTTAATTGAAATCATTATAGACTTTTTTCCGAAGCAAAAAAGGCAAACACAGTAACTTTTTGCTTCATGACTTCTAGCTTTTGACATTTTTGAGCGAGCAGTAATAAAATTAAACAATGTTATTAACAAACAATGAGTATTATTTCTGACACTTTTAAATTTAATACTTGACAACTTCATAAAGAATTGATTCATGATTAGAAATCGAATTGATTAATATTCAACTGTTTCAAAGTACTATAAAAAGTTAAAAATACACAAAAATCGACTTTATTCGTAAATCCCTCTACCGACTTTTTTCATCTTAGGTTCAAATTACTCAGAAAGTAATGTGGAATTAGTATCTATATTTTTATCGCACAGGCACAAATATGGTGCTTTTAGATACCTGTGGACAGGGTATAAAGCCATTTATTTGTTCTAATGTTTAAAAATGGCGTCTGTTTTCACTAAGGTAAAAATGAACGCACGGTCCTTGTGATTTTTATCTAAGGAAAAAATGGACGTTATTTTCATAATATGGTCAGAACAAATTAATAGCTTTTCACCTGATCTCTAGATATTTGAAATTACTACGTTTGGGTCTTTAAAATAAAAACTATCAAAAATGAATTATTTTTTTAACCCTAAGATAAGAAAAAAGTTTAACTCTCTTATTTTCAGTCGTACAAAATATCAAAGGCCAATCGACGGAAGAAAATTAAAAGTAAGAAGTATCACCGTATTGAAAGGAAAAAGAAATTAAAAGATCAATTAAAAGAATTGGAACAGTTAAAAAAAACTGATTCATCTGCTGCTCTAGAAAAACTAAAATATTTGGAAAAAGTTAGGTCAGAAGAGCGAATGACATTAAGACATAAGAATACCGGTCATTGGGCAAAAAACAAATTGATACGAGCAAAATATGACAAAGAGGTAAGTCTGATTAATTTTTAACTACTACACGGAGAGAAAAAACTTGCCTTTATTCGGCGCTCCTGCTTTTAAAAGCATGAATTCTTACTACCAGAGTATGTTTGACATACCTTTTTATTATGAAATGATTTCATGCTGAAAAGGACCTCCGTATTGATAGAACTACAATTACAAAATATTTAAAATTTCCTATTGGTCCTTTAAATGCGTAATTTGCAGTTCATTTGTCAATATCATTTTTTACTTAATCTGTATAAAAAAGTTTCAATAGATTAATTTGGCAAATAATTATGTAGGGCCAGTATGCCAATAACTGCGCTTATTAATTTAATTATTATAAGATTTAATATCGCGCAAGACAATAATTGACACATTTTCATTCAATGCATTTGCTTCATTTACTTTTCGCCAACGCTTTTATGCCTGCATGGGATGGGCTCTTTACAATAATTGACGCTGCCAAACTATTTTTTTGTTTTACAGTTTTACATCCTTCACCTACGATAGCAACCATGTAGTTATATCAATTCATTTTCTTTAAAATAAATGTATTTTCTATTCAAATGGGACAGTTATGTTATTCTTAACTGGAATTACGAAATAATTGGTATATTTATCCTATAGGTAAATTTCTCTGAAATTAATGATCAAGCTTGCATTACATAAATGTCTACATATGGTGTTTAAATTATAAAGATAAATTAATTAATGTTAATTAATTAATGTTCCGCTCTCATTGCACAATGTACTATTGGATTTTTTCCTTCGTGCAATCTTGCTGAATCTAAAAAAACACATTTTCGAGGTGTAATGTCACTTAAATTTACCTGTAGGAAATTCAGCTAGTCCAAGTATAATAAATAATATACCGTTGGAAAGGTCGTAGAATAAAAGCCAATAAAAATTGACAGACTTATGGTTGATCAAAGTTCAAATTTCATGCAAATTTTGATGATTTTTAGAAACTTGTCTGGCTTCTGTTAATTTTTTCTAATCCAAACAATAAAAAAAGTTCATGTTTTAAATTTTTTATCGATAGTCTATTTAATTACAAAAATTTTAAGCCCAAGTAAAGCACAATCGGATGAAAAATAAAAATTCTATACCAGATTTAGTGAACAAAACAATTTTTTCATTTTTAGTAACCTCTCAAGTTCATTTCTTTGATAATTTAAATGTTTTTGATTATCATGTGACAACGATCCACAAGTTTATTTTAGTTTGTAAAAGAATGTTTTGTGCAATAAATCAATACCAATTTCGTAATTATAGAAATAAAAAGGAATAGATGTTTGCAGTGAGATCTGCAGCAAAAATGCAAACTGTAAAATAAAGTTAAGCTAAGGTTTTAAAAATCTCTAATCTGGGGTTTTTAGAGTGGCTGATTACGAATCTACGGTCAGTTTCTGAAATTCAAAATGGCGAATCCAATATGACGGACAAAATTTTATAAATATGAGATAAATTCACTAAAATGACTACACGGGGGTTTTTAAGGTTGCTGCAAATCTCACTGCAAACGTCTTTTCTTTTTTATTTCTATAATTATGAAATTGGTATTGATTTATTGCACAAAACATTCTTTTACAAAGTAGAATAAATTTGTGGATCGTTGTCACATGATAATCAAAACTATTTAAATTATCAAAGAAATTAACTTTTAATACAAAACAAATTTAGATCGAAATTACTTGAGAGGTTACTAAAAATGAAAAAATTATTTTATTTACTAATTCTGGTGCATCTCGTTGGAAAACAGCTTCTTTCCGCTCTCGTTGCACAATGGACTATATTATATTAGGACTAGATGATTTTCCTACAGGTGAATTTAATTTACGTCACATCTCGAAAATGTGTTTTTTTTAGATTCAGCAAAATTGCACGAAAGAAAAAAATCCAAAATATGTTTTTCTTATTCAAAAAACACCTATTAATCGAAAAAATATGTTTCGTTCGATTGGTAATTTCACTGTAAACCGGTGTAAGAAATTGAATATATATAATATTTAATTTTTATATTACTTATATGTTTAAATATTTTTACACACACTAATTATTAGCAGTAAAAAAATAAGTTTATCCAAAAAATAAACTTTTTACCTCTTGAAAATTGAATTAAATTATATTAATAAATTAAATTAATTACCTATTAATTAAAATTATATTGAATAATTATTTGAAGAAATATTTTATTGATCAAACTGTTAAATTAAAATTTTATTGTACGCAACTTGAATTAGCACAATTTTCTGAATTAATATTTTACTACACTATTGTTTGAATAAACATTTTATCTACGGGGGGCGTCGTGTTGTTCAATACATTACAAAAAATTATTTTCTTGGATGTTTAAAAATATTGGGTTTTATTGGGTTTATTAGCATGTTTTTTATAAAATAATATAACATTCGAAGAATATTTTATGAAATTTTCCTTGGAAAATATTAACAATTAACTGGTTAACTGGTGGAGCATTTTCCAGTTTTCGTGACAATTCTGGTAGAAGCCAATTATCAACAAAATTACATAAAAACTGCTTCTAGAAGGATTTTTGTGCCCCTGATACCATTTCCAAGCTTATAGTCTCCATTTTGAAACATCCTAAAAGGGTGAAAAAAACACAAAAAAAACAAAAAAATGGAGTGTAAAATCCTTCCGTAACCTCCTCGCCGGTACACTCTGGGGTCGTGAATCTTTCACTAGCTAACTACGAAGGTGAAAAATTTTTGTGTGGCTGTATTGTCGTAATATTGAGGTTAAGATTCAGAATTTCACAAAAATAACACCTAAATAATATATATATATATATATATATGAGAGATTCTTTTTCAATCGCCCCAGCCCAAAAAGTCAATGTTCTGGGATTGGCTTCATACTTTGGTAAATTGTTGTCCTATATGATAGTAATAAATCCCTAAAATATAAACTCATTAAAAAAATATTTGTAGAAAGTAGAGGGGGTTGAAGTTTGGACGTTAAGGGTAACATTGTCATTTTCAAATCCGTATAACTATGACAAAAGTTAATGGATTTAAATTTATCCATAATGAATTTTAATGCATTTTTCACGTACTTTTCAAAAATGTATACAAAATTTAAAAAAAAAATTTTTGACCCCCTTTATTTCAAAATCAACCCTTATTTTTCGATTTTCACCCCTTCGGGTATTTTTTTTTTTTTTTTTTATTTTCATTGGATAGCTGAGGTTTTTTCCCATGAGCTATGTAAATATGAAAATGGGACAACAATAATTTTGTGAGAAACAGAATATTAATGTAGGCGGTGCCGATAACGGGTATACCTGAAGATCATCTTCGAGGATTTAGGTAGGTACCGCCTACTTCAATATTCTGTTTCTCACAAAATTATTGTTGTCCCATTTTCATATTTACATAGCTCATGGGAAAAAACCTCAGCTTTCCAATGAAAATAAAAAAAATAAAAAAAAAATTCCCGAAGGGGTGAAAATCGAAAAATAAGGGTTGATTTTGAAAAAAAGGGGTGAAAATTTTTTTTTTTAAATTTTGTATACATTTTTGAAAAGTACATGAAAAATGCATTAAAATTCATTATAGATAAATTAAAATCCATTAACTTTTGTTATAGTTATACGGATTTGAAAATGACAATGTTACCCTTAACTGCACCCTTATCGGCACCGCCTACATTAATATTCTGTTTCTAACAAAATTATTGTTGTCCCATTTTCATATTTACATAGCTCATGGGAAAAAACCTCAGCTTTCCAATGAAAATAAAAAAGAAAAAAAAATACCAGAAGGGGTGAAAATCGAAAAATAAGAGTTAATTTTGAAAAAAAGGGGTCAAAAATTTTTTTTTTTAAATTTTGTATACATTTTTGAAAAGTACGTGAAAAATGCATTAAAATTCATTATAGATAAATTAAAATCCATTAACGTTTGTCATAGTTATACGGATTTAAAAATGACAATGTTACCCTTAACGTCCAAACTTCAACCCCCTCTACTTTCTACAAATATTTTTTTAATGAGTTTATATTTTAGGGATTTATTACTATCATATAGGACAACAATTTACCAAAGTATGAAGCCAATCCCAGAACATTGACTTTTTGGGCTGGGGCGATTGAAAAAGAATCTCTCATAAGGGAAATTTTACGCTGAACACAAATCCGGTGCTCAAAGTGCTCCATCACGTCAAGTTTTTGAGGAAAATAGGGTTGAAACCCCTAAAAACAGCGTTTTTGTCGCTTTTTGAAAAATCATGGGGAAAAATCCTGACGTTATAAAAACTTCCCTATTATCATAAATTAAAGCTTAATTCGCTCCCTTTTAAATGAGCTCTCAGGCAACTCATATGCTGTAACCCTTAGAGCAGGGGGTAACTTTTTGTGCAGGAGTGCATCAACGTCAAAATAATAAGTATTGGGCTTTTAGAGGATAAAAATAGTATATTAAGCAACAAGGGTCCAAAGGCAGCTATTGTTTACGTTGGCGTTTGCAGCCCGAGACGTGAATAAGTGCTAGGAAACGTCAACGTAAACAATTGGCTTCTTTTGGACTCATGATTCTTACCATACTTTTTATTCATTTGTTCTACCGTTTGAAAATGGCGTCCATTTTTACCCTAGGGCAAAAATAACACATGGGCCTTTACACCCGGACAACAGGTATTTAAAAGCGCCATGTTTGTGTCTGAAGGATAAAAAATGTTTTTCGTTTTGAAAAAAACAGTGTACTCTTACCCGTGGCTAAAAAAATTTTCTCGTTCCACAAATGTAGCTGAAGTATGAGACGTTGCAATTCGTCTCACAAAACGCTCGCAACGCCACGCAAGCTGTTTTGCATAGGCGTCGCAAGTGGTGAATAGCCCAAAAGATAATAGATATATAATTCAATAAATTACATTAAAAAATAAAGTTATTTAAACATTTTAACATAAAAAACATAAAAATATACCAACTCATATATAAAAAAGTAGTATATATATACCTATTAAAACTTTAATTTTTTTAATTA